AAAACGGACCACACATTGTGAGAGATTATTCTGTACGGAGGCCTAACACAATTCACTGTCCGGAGACCAACCAGAATGTGCCACGTAACCAGTACCGAGCTGGGTACCAAGCGGTACCGAGCCGCAGTACCCAGCAATATCGAGCCGGGTACCGAGTAGGGGGTGATGTGGTGCATTCTGGTTGGACTCTGGACGATGTTCAAGGCCTGCATAGAATAATTTCACCACACATTGGTGCTTTAACACTCAACTTAAACTTGTAATTAAAAAAAGTAAAAAAAAAAAAAAAAAAACTAAAGGAAAATTAAAGTTGTACTCTGAAACATACAGAACAACAAAAACAAAGTACCGCCACGATTTCTAGTACCTAGATCATAGTTGGCGGGCGACTGAGTTTGGAAGGATCATTAGTGGCTTCTATATTAGAGGTTAGACGATCATTGTCGGCCAGAGGTTCCTCAACAACAGCCTGGTGGCATAGATTCGTTAGCGGTGGTATCGGGGTGGAGCTTTAGGATTCCTCAAGTTTCATAACTCTTCTCTTCTTTCTCCTCATATGAAGAATGAATGGTTCATTTATAGTTTTTTGAGAGTGACATGCCCCGATAATATGAATAAAATCAAGGGCATATTAGGAGTGTTCAATCGGATCACCCATAACCATATTAATCTCCTAGATTATGAGCATTTGTCAAACATTTATGCCAAATGATATCAGAATTAGGTGATCTTTGGCTTGTTGGATTCGCCTCATTGAGCCACTCGTTTAAATGATAAGCATGCTATATTTGGATATCATTTGGTCATCCAATTTATGCTTTTATCCTTTCAAATGTGCTTCAGGCTCTTAATTTGGACCCATTTGGGTTTGGATTAGACCAATTATGGTGTCGTTAGATTCGTCTCTTCGAAACATTCAATTTTACTATTAGTTTATTGAAATCGGAGTTCAGATGCTCTAGATTTAATTTTGAAAGTTTCCAACTAAGATTGCCTTGAGATTCATGCAGGTGATTTTTTTGTGACCTATCAATATTTATTCTACAGTAAGCTTGATCTGTAATAATAAATATCGTCTAAAAAGCACTGATGTGGAACTAAAACTTGATGTCTGAATCATTTGGAAATATGAAAATAACTGAGAGCTTTATAAGTCATGTATACAATAGCCTTTAGCTGAATCATCCAAGCAACAACATCCAGGTTGCCAATAAGTCGAGTTCAGGTCTATTTTTTTTACTCATTTACTAACCAGGTCAAATTTATCTTAAATGGATCAAAGTTAGACCAATTTCCATCCATATCAAAATTCAACATGTTAACCCATTTTGACACGTTTATTAAATAATTATTGATACGGCATCACAAAATTAGCTTGATCGGGCACGAATCTCGAGGCAACAGCTATTTGAAAACTTCAAAAATTAAATTTGAAAGGTCTCGAACTCCGATTTCAGCGAGCTTATGGTCAAACTGAGCGTCTCGGAAATACGAACCCAACGACACCAAATTCAACCCAATCCGATCCCAAATGGGTCCGAATCAAGGACCCGAAGCGCTGTTGGAAGGTTCAAACCGCAATTTGAGTTATCAAACAGTCTCCGATTTTGATGAGCTTATACTCGAATCGAATGACTCGACGAGAAAAATCTAACGAGCCCAAGATCGCCAAATTACGACATCATTAAGGCCTCCAAATGTCCAAAGAACGGTGCACGATCGAAGGGTTCAATATCGGCCGTCCGTTCAAACCACTCCCTATTCGCCCCTGATCTCACACCTATTTACTAGCCATGCCACCCCAGAAAAACTATAAATAGAGCACTCATTCTTCACAAAGGGGACTCAAGTGAAGAAAGAGAGAGAGAAGAAGAGAAGCAGGAAGAGAAGGAAGAAGCTCCTCGACCACCGCCGGAACTCTTCCCGCCGCCTGAAGATGCCGGAACTCTGCCGGATTTTTGGGAAACGCCGTGAATTTGCAGAACTTTGTAACTTTGTAAGAAGTTGATTGTAAATTGATCGTCTTGATTTGTAAGACGGATCAACCTTGGTACTTCAAACAAACACTAGTGAAACTTTACAACTGGGCTAGGCCCTATGGTTTTTCCCCTTTTTGGGTTTTCCACGTAAAAACCTTGGTGTTCATTTCTCTTTTCTGTTTGTGTGCTGAATACTCGTACAATGTTCGGACTCGAATTTACAAACTCTACCACCGCGTATATTCAAGCACGCAACAATTATAATTTTGAAAATCCTAAAATACTTTTGTCTTTCTCATATTCTTTAGACAGACAATCCACTTCTCTTGTTGATGCCTTCATAACATAAAAATAATAATAAAAAAAAACTCTTAAAATTTTTAGGTAAGGTTTAAAAACTCATAATACCTAAAATTAATTATTATCAAGAGCAAGAAAATTAATGTTTCATTCTATAATTATATTTCTTATCAAATAAAAAATAAAATCCTTTAAATAAATTTTAACAAAGTATTTTTGAGAGTAAGATTTTAGATTTTAAGATTTTGTCAGTACATGAGGATTTCAATATTATATGGGAAAAAGTGGCTTGTGATATTAAGAATATTGCAAAAGATGTGCTTAGAGTTTCGAAGGTCAAAACTCTTAATAATAAAAATAGTTGGTGGTACAATTCAAATGTGCAAGAAAAGATAAAAAATAAGAAGATTTGTTATAAAAATTGATTTAGATGTAAAAATTTTGATAATTGGGAAAACTATAAAGAGGCTCGTAAGGAATCTAAAAAATCTATTTGCGATGCAAAGAGCTTAGCTTTTAATAATTTATATAATAGACTAGATACTAAGGAAGGAGAAATATATATGTATAAGTTAGCCAAACAAAGAGATAGAAGTAGTAAAAATTTAGTTCAAGTGAAGTGTATTAAGGATGAAGATCAAAAAGTACTTTTCTTAGAAGATGATGTTCAACAAAGGTGAATGAGGTATTTTGCTAAACTTTTTAATGAAGAATGTCAAAATACGATTGACTTTAGTGACTTTATCATCCTAAATGAAAGTAAAGATTTTTATTTTTATCGAGGTTTAAGTAAAACCGAAGTTAGAGAGGCTTTAAAGAAAATGAAGTGTGGAAAAGCTGTTGGACCTGATGATATTCCAATAGAGATGTGGAAATATGCTTAGGAAAAGAAGGAATTTTTTGGCTTACTAAACTTTTTAATACTGTTTTGAAGACTAAAAAAATGACAGATCAGTGGAGAATGAGTGTGTTAATTCATATTTTTAAGAATAAGAATGATGCACAAGAGTGTGTGAATTATTGAGGAATTAAGTTAATGTGTCACACTTTAAAATTATAGGAGCGAGTTATGGAGCGTAGGTTGCGGCGTGATACTAATGTTTCTCAAAATCAATTTGAATTCATGCCGGATAGGTTTACTATGGAAGCTATACATTTATTGAGAGGTTTGATGGAGATATATAGAGAGAATAAGGAGGATCTACATATGATATTTATTGATTTAGAGAAAACATATGATAAAGTTCCAAGAGAAGTGCCATGGAAAGTTCTTGAAAAGAAAGGAGTTAATAATATTTATATTCAAATCATTAAAGATATGTCTGCAGGAGCTATTACTTGTGTTCAAACATAAGGTCGTTTAATGAAGTATTTTCCTATTTCGATTGGATTACATCAAGGATCAGCCTTAAGTCCATACCTTTTTGCTTTAGTCATGGATGTTCTCACTAGACACTTACAAGAGGATGTACCTTGGTGTATGTTATTTGCTGATGATATTCTTCTTGTTGATAAGACTAGATAGTGAGTTGAAGGTAAACTTGAATTATGGAGGTCAACTTTAGAGTGAAGGTTTTCATTTGAGTAGATCTAAAACTGAATATATAGAGTGTAATTTTAGTAGCAATAGACTTAGTGAGGGGATTGTGACTTTGGACGATCAAGCCATTAATAAGAGTACACGTTTTAGATATCTTGGATCTATTGTTTAGAGTAATGATGAAATTGATGGGGATATTATCAATAAAATTCAAGTTGGATGGTTAAAGTGGAGGAATGCATCGGGTTTATTGTGCGATAGAAAAGTCCCCCTCAAACTTAAAGAAAAATTCAATAAGATGATTGTGAGACCTGAAATGCTTTATGGTGCCGAATTGGCCATTAAAAAAGAAGCATAATACTAAGTTAAGTGTTTCAGAGACGAGGATGCTTAGGTGGATGAGTGACTTGACCCTTAGAGATATAATACGAAATGAGCATATACCTGAAAAGGTTGGAGTAGCTCCAATGGAAGATAAGATTAGAGAAAGTCGCTTTAGATGATTTGGTCACATTAAAAGAAGGCCTTTCGATGACCCGATTAAAAAAGTAAGGTATTAGATTTGACTTATGTTAAAAAAGGTAGAGGTAGACCTAAAAAGACTTGGTTAGAAAATACTAGAAATGATATTTTTTTATTAGATTTAAATGAGAATTTGACTTTTAACCGTACACAATGACGAAAAAGGATTCATGTAGCTAACCCCACATAGTGGGACAAAAGCTTGATGTTGTTGTTGTTGTATATAAATTTTAAACTCACAACTTTTTCATAAATTGCATTAATTATTAATGAAGTGAATCATATGTTGATATTAACATATATCATGTACTTAAAATATATAAAAATTGAAATGAATACATCCTTATAAATCAATATGAAAAGAAACATATTCATCATATTGATCAATACTTCTAAAAACAAAAGGACTGATCAATATTCAAAGCCAATAAATAGCACAAATCCAAATCTAAGGCTTCGTTTGAAACAACTTTCTTATCCCTTCTCAAAACAACTTTCTAGTACTAAAAAATAGCTTTAAGAAGCAATAAAAGAGTTGTCCCAAACGAAACTTAAATTTATAATTGAGCAACTAATCACAAGTGATTGATTGAGTACACAAACATAACAGAAATGGAGAAGAAGCAACAATTTAACAGCCTTGCAAGTAAGACTGATCATACAATAAAGGGAATGATTTTAAGTTATTTTGAAATACTTCTCAAAAGTGTATTAATACAAACTAATTGGCTCAGTTTATCAGATGAGAATACAGCTTTGCACCCAAAGTTTTATCCCCAAATACAGAGAGCAGCCTGTGCTGATAAACTAGCCTGGCTATTTTCAATCCTAAGACTTTCCCTCATTTGGCCAGGAAAACAATCCACATCTATAACAAATTCACCTAACCATGTAAACAGATTTACTCGTTCAGTACAAGAAAAATGAATCTGCTAGACTAAATGCTGATGCTGTTAAACCAGCCACAAAAGATCAAAGCTAACAAGAAGACTAGAACGCCTAAGCTTCTGCAGTGATTGAAAACCTGTAAGGTGACTAGTTGTGAAGAAACCACCATTGCAATACTTAGAGCAGATACTGAAGAAAGAAGTGAAAAAGATCATTTTCTCAGCCAGTTTTGGCAGCACGTTGTCTCCATGAACTCTGAAAAATTTGCAATGAGAATTTAGAATGAGGAGAGTTACCAGAAGCAAGGAAATATTGTACTTGTAAACATGGAGGTTGAGATGGTTTACAAGGGGCTCGTCGTCTGAATCTTCCATGGTTTTCGGACTGGAAGTATCGTCGCCTTTTTCGGGTAACTCTTTGGACACATCTGATGTGTTCACTTTGGTTTCATCGGCTATTTTTACTGGAGTTGAAGATTCTTTTGCTTCAAATTCTTCAAGGAAAAAAAAAAGGAATTAGATGTCTTCAAAATTATGCAGGTTCCCTACGCTATAATCAGGAAATATCAATACTTTAATCCAGCTTTGATTCATGATTGGGCCAAAAGCATAATGCAGCAATGAGTTGAAAATTATAAAGAGAGGGCATCACTTAATTACCATAGAATGCGAACAAAAGCCGGTTTAGATTCTAACTAAACAGTAGACAAATTTTAAGAAAACAGATGATTCCAAGGGAGGTTTGTATGGTTTTTCATTCTTGAATCCCTCTAGAATCAGCAAGAAACAGCACATACTACTGTGGTTTCGTTTGGGACGGCTTTCTTATTGCTTCTTAAAACAGCTTTTTTATACAATTTTTTTTACAAGAAAGCTGCTTTAAGAAGTAGTAAGAAAGCCGCTAATCTAAATACTAGCTGCCTTTATGCATCCACAAGTAGAAAAACATGTCCGCGCTAGCCTTCTACAAGATCCTTCCTCTTTCCTTTGGGTCCTTTAAAAAAACCTAAAAATACTATCCTCTTCAGGAGTAACAAGGCAAGATAAAACTTTACACAAGGGATCCAAAGATAAAGAATAGGTTCCTAAAAAAAAAAAAAAACTGCTATCTTAAAAAGGTTTTCTTGAATACCCCTATCAAATGTGAAAAAATATCCAACTACCTCCAACATAAATTATCGTTAACAAATCGTCACAATACTTTAATATGCAAACTAATTGAAGGACGTTTTGGATATGGATGAAGTTGTATAAAAAAGCTGCATGAACCCTTTACAAGGGCCATAACCACATTTTCCTCCTGTCTCTCTCCTATATGATAGAGAGATTATTACATGCGGATGCCGAATGCGTCTGGAGGCCAATCAGGAGCCGCCACATCACACAATGCCCTATGCATTGAGTGACGTGGCGGCTCTTGATTGGAGTTTGGACGCGTTTGGCGTCCGCACATAATAAATTTTCCATATGATGGCCCATTTTAAAAATAACATTTAAATGAATGCACAGGGCAATAATTTTTCCATATGATGGCCGCACGTAAAAATTATGCAGACCAATAAATCGACTTTAAATGAATCTTTTATTAATATTATATTAGAAAAATATTGACATAGTTAAAGTATTTTCAGGATTAATTATTATTATCACGAAACAATTAATTAAATTTTAGATTCTTTTGAATTTTTCTTGGAATCTATAGACTCCTTATTTGTAATCTTCTTTTACGTCATTTAACAGCAATTTTAAAATTCCTCAAACTCCCTTGAAAGAGGCCAACGTCTTTCTCTCTCCAAGTCCATTTGATCTCCAAGTTACCCAACCTTTCTACCTCTCCCTCTCTCTCTAGACTCTCCCTGTCAAAATTTTGGAATTAAATCCAGACAAATGAAGCAAATAAGGAAAAGAAGGAAGAAGGGATGGCAATCCAAGAAGAGGAAGCCATCATTCATTAATGATATGAATTTAATTATCAATAATTTGATCTATTATAATCTCTATTTGCTAGTATTCATCATGCCCTCTAAGTACATATCATAATCCTTACATTCATCAAGCTCTTCAAGAACAACCCTATCATTGATTGAAGCTTACAAGATCACATCAACCCAAGTCCCAAACCGACAGTTAGACCCATCTACACAATTACTTTGCTCAATATCCCCACTACCATTTTGTTTTAAGAGTATTGTGGGCTCCGAAAATTCGGCCCCGGCCTCCTCGCCGCGCTTTTCTTTTTATTTTCTTTTGCTTGAGCGAGGGAGTTTTAACTGATAAGTTCTGAGGTAAAATTTGGAAGGCAGATGAGTTTGTAGATAAGACACTACCCAGAGATTTCGCCCTCATTTTGCAAGGACTTTATGATCTGAGTTCTGGTTTCCTATAGGCGCAAGCCCCTATAGTTAATTACCCCTCTCGATCATGAGAGAGAACTTTCGATTACGGCTAGTCGTAAAAGAGGTCGAATAGGTTATAAACCTATCGTATAATAGCAATAATTTTAGGGTTTAAATTTTGAATTTGAAAGTTTGAAATTTGGAATTCAGAGTTTATCGCCATAAACTTAAAACTGGTGGTGGGAAGAATGAAGACGAGCCCGATCAAGATCCCATGGTTCTGTCATTCTGGGCTTTCATGTTCCCTGGTCTACTTAGTCAGAGGAGGTAGTCGACCCAACCTGACAGAAGGTACCTTGTCGGCAGCCATGGGTTACTTCGTCCAAGAATACCTTGTAGACCTGGATTCATAACTCAAGGGTTTGACGCCTCTAGGGAACATACGTGCTTTGGCCGTGATCATAATATAATGGCGCCATTTTGCGGCAAAACCACCCGATCAGAGGGCACATGCCACGTCCCTGTTGGCAAGAGACTATTTGATGATGAACCTTAGTGATACACCCGACATGCATTTCCTCTTTGTGAGCTGAGGTTAATTTCAAATTTATCACCCCTGTTGACCTCGATTTTGCCCGGATGTGGGCATGGTGGCTTGAGTTGACCAAGTCAACCTTTGACTTGGTCAACCCAAGCCTTAATGGGTCAAAATTGACCCACTAAAGAGCCCAAATCGAATCCAACCTCTTTCATGGCTCAATCCTTGGACTTCCTTGACCTATTTGACTGATTTGACCAAGTCCAACGTTGACTTGGTCAAACCAAGCCACTAATAGGTCATAATAACCTATTAGAGCCCATTAATAGCCCATTTAAGGCTCTAATCAATGCCCATTCGTTTTAAATTCACAACCACGGCCTAATCACTCAAATTTCCCTCCAAATCAACTGGTGATTCAATCTTAGCCGTTAAGATTAACCCCAAGGCTTAAATACCCAAAATTAGGTCATTAGAATGGATCTTTTGGCTCTTTCTCTCTCTCAAGGCGATCTCAGGTTCTGAGATTTTGTGAGAGTGCTCCCACATCCTTTCTCCATCGAATCCTGACGGACAAAGCTCGCCGGCGGCGAGATCCCGGCGAACCCGTGACCAATTTACTTTCAGGGATTCTTCCGGCCAATCGAGGCGGTTTCGGAGCTCGAGTTCAACAAGAGACTTGTTCTAGAGGAGTCCACGAGTCCAACGAGCCCAAGATCTCCCGAATCCACCGTGTGGATCGAGGTATATCGCAAACCCTAGTTAGAACACTTAGGGTTAAATAGAGTTATATATATCGTGTTTTAGATCAAAATAAAATTTCCCCACTGTTGCTCTTCATGCCTAAAACCTAGATCTAAAATTTTATGCGAGTTGGTTCAGCCGTTTGGGAGAACGAAGCAAGAATAGCTATAGGGTTTCGGATCAGGCGTTGCATGGCCTGCGGGATATCTGAACCGTTGATCCTAGGATCAACGGTTCGGATCGTTTTTTATTTTATTTAAATTATTATTTTTATATAATTATTATTATATTGTTATTTAATAGTTATTTATATTAATTATCATTAGTTTAAGTTATTATTTTACTGTTTAAGTTTTATTTTATAATCATTACTATTATTAATTATTTTTGAGATTATTTTTTAATTATATTTTACTATTTTCCAATAATTGTTTATTTGTAAATATCCTTTATTGACTTAAACTCCCAAAATTCGTATCGTTCTCGTTTTCGCTCCGTTTTTAACGCACAATACCTTGATATGAACGTATTTGGATTCTGCACATTCTGGAACCAGTTTTACTTGAAATTTTTGAGTCTGTAGGCAGTTATGTTCAAAACAGCAAAAACAACAATATTTAAAAATATTTAATTATCATATTTGAACTTTGAAATTGCATAACTTTCTTGTCTTAAGTCGGATTTTGATGCACAGCACCTTGTTTTGGGTGTATTTTGAATTCTGCACAGTTTAAGACTATTTTCAGATAAAAAGTATGTCTGTATTTTCTGTTATTACAAAAACAGTGAAACAGTATTATTTTTAAATATTCTTTTATTATGTTTTTACTTCGGAAATTCGTATCTTCGTCATTTTAAATCGGATTTTTGCGTATAATCCCTCGTTCTTTTCAGAAAAGCGAGCTTTATGCTTTGAAACTATTTCCAGCCCCTGATTTTGGCTGTTTTGACAGTTTTCTATCTTGGAGCACTATTTGGTTATTTAATTATTATTTACTTAATTAATATAATAGTATTTTTAGGATACAAACTATTTTTAAACCGTTTTGAGACCTCGATTGGGTGGTCAGTGGGTCTCCTATATATTTACTTATTACAAACTGATTTATTTTGAATTATCTTATTTTTCAAGAAAAATCTATATTTACATGATTATTTTAAATTATTTTGAAATTACTTATAATTAAATCTTAATTTTGGGAGATCCACTATTTCATGAAATTTTAGACATGGGTTCTTGATATGAAGAGCAATCATGGGGGAGTGGGTTAGTGAATGGTTGAGTCCCAACCATTCACTAATCCCTTCATTAGGTGTCTTTACTTCTTTATTGTTCGTAGTTTGCATGTGTAGGTCGCACCACGAGCACTTAGCTTAGGCTCTCCTAAATCTAAGGAGATGGTGTGTTTATTTCATTTTTGTACTCCCATGCATTTATTATTCTGAGGGTTAGTGTAAACTTCACATTAAACTCCTACAACGTAGTGACACCCTAAGGACAAAAATTAAGGATCTGTCTAGCAAACTTAGAAGTCTCATAGGAGCTAGGATAGATCACTGATTAACATGAAAACTTCAACACTTAAACTTCGTGACATTATAAGCCTTTCATAATTTCTTGAAAATTTTTAGGAGCTTTTAGAGCCCTTAATTAACCAACCATAATTAACCTGCTAAATAAGGCCCCTAGACCTTCCAAAAAAACACAATAAATACACCTTAGGTCAGAAAATTACCCATAATACCTTGAATTGACCAGAATCTGATCCTTGACCTTAGATAAACAGGGCTCCCTAGTTTGACTCTAGGTTGACCCATAATTTGACCATAGGTGGAATTTACCATTTTGCTCCTAATAAATCATTAAAAATTATTAAAAATCCCAAATTTTTCCCAAATACTTGGGATCACTTTCTCAGATCATTCCTGACCTTTGGGGGTGATTCCAATCAGTTTGGAGCTTGTTTGGGGCAAAACAGTAAAAAAGGCCCTTTCTTAGTTAATTTAGAAATTCCCTTAAATACCCTGAAATTAGGAAATCCATAACGAATTGTAGAAAACTCTAAATTAGGTAAACTCACTTGCATTAGACTCCAATTAGGATCTAGTATTTATTAAAAATATTAGGTTTCCAGAAAATGACCTAGATTAACAAGTCAACTTTTTGGTCAACCGTAGTTCATTTATGGCCCGAAACTTAGAAATTTCATAACTTTGCCTAGAAAACTCCGATTT